GAAAATAGTGTGTCGGAGCTCATGCGTATAACGGGCTGGCGCGAACAGGACCGGTGCAAGTTTTTTATTGATCGAACAAATAGTTCGCACGATATTTCAATCATACATTTTTAGAGATGATTCTATACAAAAAACGATTAAAAAAATTTCAAGTTAAGGTAAATATGGTTCTGACAGTCCTTATTAAGAAAGATATGGCATAAAATATGAATTAGTTAATTTTCGGCAATCATTAGTACAGTAGTCATGAGATTTTGCTTGTGATTTTAAAAATACTTTCCAGAAAAACCACGTGCTCCGGTTTTGACTACGTTTATTATTAAACAGCGAAATTATATACAAAAACTTTAATCCACAATCTAAATTAGGTACTATCACAAGAAAATCACTGTTACAATAATTAATTACTTAACCAAAAACTAAAATACTTTTTAGGTACCTACGTAACCAGAAAGGAGCTGGACCATTTATCCTAATATTGATTTTCTCTCTCCCTACGGTAAAACCTAAAACAATAACAAATTGCCTATCTACTAGGGTCGGTAACTAAACGTATATACATAATGGGCGGATTTTGTTTATACTTAACATTACACTCGCGCATTTAAATATAACTATGCATATAAATATTTACAAACAAAGATACTTTTCCAAACAGGCAATCATTAGTACTGTAGTCACGAGATTTTGCTTGTGATTTGACATCTTATTTGATAATATCATTTGCTACAACTAAATTTAATCTGGGGAGTGCAAAATAGGGCCCAGGAATATTATGTTCGATATTTTTTTACATTTTGTCAGCCGAGACTATGAGTCGTTAGACAGAAAACCTTTCATGTTACCATTTTCAATATAAATTAAAAAATTAAAAAATACTACTACATTTACTTGGTACATATTTTATTTTAATTTTGAACCTTTTTAAAAGGGTCTTTCGGTTCCATAATAAAAATTAGTTGCTGCTTACTAGAAACATTCTATATAGCCTAAACCAATTTATAGTTGGTTTTCGATCAATTTAATATCAATTTAAAGTTTTTAGTCGATGATAACATTCCACAACAGCACATTGCAAACCTATTTTATAAATAATAGGAATAAACTTGTAAATCATAAATTTGGTAGTTATCTCACTCATATGATTTTTTTGTTTATATGACTATTTCGATTTCTAAATATATTTTGGCCTTACAATACGAAGCGTTTTGTATCTACCACTTTTTTAATGAACGATGCATGTTGGCAGGCGTGTACCTTTTTCGGAACAAGAGGCGTTTTAACGAAGGAAATGATTTTCGAACTATCTAGTTAGTTTTCGGAAAAATACAAAACGTTTGAAGAAAGTTGTCAATAACAGTTTGTCGTTCATGTGTTTCATTTTGATCAGCTTTCATACTAAATTGCGTAGAATATTTTTCCGATTCAAAATCGAGATTCTCGATATTTCCACAGTTTATTTATAATACCTTCTAAACTGGATTTATCTATCATTTTATATACTTTATAATATATGTTCATGCCCTACTTTTCACTTTATTAACAATTTTTTTTTAACATACTTCAAAATGGTAGGATATTCTCAATTCGTTGAAATATTTTTTTATGTATGTTGAGCGATAATTCTTTACCACGTTGCCCGATTTCTAGGATTATTTTTGTTAGAAAAGGAAACAGTTTTATATACATTAAGTCAAGATCTGAAGATGGGATCCATAAGAAAATCATTAACATCTTTATTTTTAAAGTAGGTTTTTTTTTTAAATTTCTTTAAACTTTACTGGTTCGAACGCGGTAAGGAATGAAGAAATGTAAATAATTGTTGTGCCAGCCAAAAAGCGAAGAGGAAGTACCGATTAAAATATCGAGTGACAGAAGAGTTCCTAAGATTGTTGAGATCGGGTTTATGTTTTAAAATGCCTTAAAACCGATATCGATAATGTCTCCCCGTCGCTGGGCAGCCTGTATATAAATATACAGCTCTCTATTTACATAATTATAATTCTTAGGTAGGTTTAGATTTGCAGACATAAATCTTGTAATAAATATAACAGCTGCCTAATACATTGATTACATTTTCATTAGCCAATGTAAAAATGTCTTTTATTGTACCTAGGATTTGACTAAACACTACAAAAAACTAAAAATAAAATGCCACTTTCATCGTGTAATTAATGCCGCGTTTGAGAATCCACATCGGATGCATTTTTTACATCTCGAGCGTTTTTTATCCACATCGGACACATCTGTCCCATTACATTTACGTATACTGAATCACGTGATCAAAGATTTACTACTTACTACATCTCAGATGCATCCGATGTGGATTCTCAAACGCGGCATAAATAATAAACTACAAACGGTCCTGTAAGGGCAGCGTCATATAGCCTTGAAACACCGGATTTTAGTGCTATTGCCAGGTCAATATTGAATTTGTAGGTGAATCGCTTATTGAACATTAAAAATACGGTATTAATGACATTAATACGGTATTTGTATATATTTTTGGGAATGTAATTACACATAAATATTATTAGTTGATTATTTAAATGTTTATAAGTTATTTTGTGGCGATATTTCGTAGATATAAACTGTTTAAATCATATAATTTAAAAATTAATTAATTTAAAATTCTTTTCTGTTAGGTATGTTTAATATATTTGGCAACACTACAGGGACAAGTCATGCATATTGCGCAAGCTTCTAGACACACTATTTTGTGATGTCAGGCGCAGAGACGCGTTTTTATGCACAGTAGGTTTCAATTTCTGCCTAAATGTTATGTTTATATTGGTCTTCTATATTATTTCTATGGATGATACTCAAAAAGGAAGGAGATACGTTCTCCTGGAAAGTGATACATATCAAAATCAGAATTATGTTTTTTTAAAATGCGACACCCACTATTTTTATTGCATTTCTGAAATCTACAGAGGAAAATAGTGTAACTTTGTTAAATTTCATGTTGATTTCGCTTTTCATTTTTGATTTATGATTTTTTTAATTTCAACCCCCTTAAACCTCCATTTTTAATCAATTTTTTTTTTCAAAATCAAAGGGCCTCTTTTTATAGAGCTTGATGTTTGCTAAAAATTTCATGTTGATATCGCTTTTTGTTTTTTGTTTTTTATTTCTTACAAAATTTCACCATTTAACAAACCTTTTCAAATTTTGGTCATATCTAATTTTCATTTTATTTAGATAAAATTAAATAATGAATAGTAAATAATGTTTAACATAAAGACTCATTTATAATAAATACCAACAGTATTTTCTGTACTTTAGTTAGCAATAAACAATTTGATTTTTATTATTTTCATAAAATTTTGTAAAATCCCTGACTCAATATTTTCATTTAAACCGTGTCTTAGTATGCCCTCAGCTTTATTTAGCTTTAATTAAAAAATAATTAGCCCTACCCATCAAATTTCAACACTTATCTTCAATAATTTGCATTTTACTTGAATAGGAATAAATAGTAAATAATGTATCAATTAAAATATGTAAGACTTATTTAGAAATAAATACAACACTATGTTCTGTTCTTTATTTAGCTATAAACAAGTTTATTTTTATTATTTTGACAAAATTATGTATAATTCCCATAAGAAGCCATGTATTTTGAACTACGTAAACCGTACCAGCGCTCATGCGGTTAATTATAAAAGCTCAATTGACGTGTGATTTTTGGGACCGTATTTTGAGCATGCCGATTCGCCTCCTTATATCTAGTCTTCATAGTCTAGTTAACTGTCAAAATTAGATACCATCGCGATTCCAAGGTCGTTTAGGATTTCTCCTTCCTGACTATTCGCTCCGTGCGCGACAGCAGCGCCAATTTGTTTTGGTATTAAAGGAGTATTTCTGCCTATACTGACAAATACAATTTTTAATAGAATTCGTAAATAAAAAGTATATATGTTAGTTTTAATAAAAGTATATGGATTTATAAAACAATTAAAACATTAATTTATTATTATTATTATATATTTTTCACGCTTAAATTGAAGAAAATTATGTATAATCATTAAAAATCAATAATAAAATGTAGGCAGGCAACAGTATTTACTGAAAAATGTATGAGAAGTTGCCTAAGTCTAATAAGTTGTCATTGAAGAAACCATTTATAATAGCGTGAAGTTAAAATGTATAAAAAGGATCGCTACTTATATTTTCATTTTTGTTCTAAAGAAAACATAGAATGAATGATTAAAACTGGTTTACGATCAGTAAGTCACAAAATTGCATATCAGCCAAATATTATAATCAACGGCAGAAATCTTGAAATCTAGTCCTTGCTGAATGAACATTTAAGAATAAAGGGATATTAAAGAACATCGTAAAATGATAATTTATTGTTTATTTAAAAACTTTCTAGTTTCTGATGTCTACTATTTCCAGCATTACTGTTATTATCACAAAAATAAAGGTAATTTTTCTTCTTATTGTACACCTACCCATTTATTTCTTTGATTTAATTTCCACTTTGTTAGTGAAATTTGTTATATAAGTTTCACTGTTTTTTTTTTGCTAGTATTTGTACAATTTTCAACACAGCAACTCCGGTTGCTTATTGTGTTGTTTTTACCTACTTTTTTGAAAAAAAGTAAAATGTATACATGTATTTGATATGCCAAAATTACAAAATATCCCCCTAAAATGCACGAATTATCCGCAGCTAGCGCTAGTATCGCTTTTGCTTCCCTTTCCATGACTTCGCACGGAGCGAATATATATTCTAAGGCGTCGATGCCGTATTTATTCCAACTTTGATAATTAATTGTAAAGTAATATTAAATGCTAGAAAAACCAACTAAATTGCTAAATTTAAGTTGAAAACTACCCCTTTTTACAAAAAATAATTCAAATATCGTTTCCAAGCTCATTCATAAATCTATTAATAGTTAAAATATTTCTTATAGCGACTAAAATAAATTTTTCTCAGTGTATCTTCTGTAATACCCAATATTTTGGTTTTAATTGTAGAAATTACGTTTCAGAATGTGGTTAATAATAATTATGCCCTAACACGAACTCCTCCATGGCTAATTCAACTTGCAACAATCAATCACCTGCTGTCGAATTGGAAATGACGGAGCGAGCTGTCCGAATGAGGCCAGCAAGTTTTTACGATAATAAAAGTTTAGAGGAGCAGCAACCCTTAAATCCAACTTCATCAAATAACAATGTGGATAGTGAGGAGGATACGAATCGGTCGCAGATCAATTTTTTGAATACAACAGTTCCACAAAATATTATGATGCACGATATAGTCGGAAAACATACTCCTACTAGGAATAGTTTGCGGCACAGCAGGTTGATTACGTTAACCAAAACTGGTCAAGGTAAATTTCAAAATGTTGTAAAATACGTGTTAAATAATTTGTTTGTTTCGGTATTCATATTGAACATAGTAATAAAAGAAAGGAACTAAAAATAGATATATTTTTAAATTAAATTTTACCTATAATCTGTTGACATTTTTTTAAAATTTAATTAATAATTTATTATTATTATGATTATTGAAAATTGAAGCAGATGATTATAATCTTATGTTGATCTTTACATTATTTACATATGAACATTAACTAATATCTAAGTACAAGTTCTGCGGTGCCGGTAAACTGCAGTCAAAATTTTTACAAATGCCGAATTGCAGTCTAAAGTTTTAGGTTACCTACCAGGTGCAAAAAAAGACTATAGTCAATTTTTATGTATGAGAGAGTATTAAAATAATAAAGCGTTCCTAATCCATAGGCGTCCACTTCTTTTAGTAGACAGTTAAAATATTTTTTGAAGTTATTCCTCGAGTATACACTTATATTTTCACCTAATTAACCTGCTTATAACTTCTAAACAGCTGCAGATAAAAAAGTGCAATTTTTTCTAAAATGTTTTATTTTTCCACAAGGTATGTTAAGAACATTGTGTCAAACGGGTTATGTAGGTATAAGGGTTTAAACTTTTAAACAACGTTAGGTTCATAAATAATAATTTTAATATAAAAACTACTTCTTACCTACAAATCAGAATCGAAATCAGAAGATGAACTGTCGCAACCAATATTTACAATGAGTGGCTCGATCATTTCATCAGTAATATTGTCCAACTTCCACATTTTCTCTTCTTCTTTAATCGTATGATTTACTGCCTTTTCCCAGTTTTCAGGCTTCACATTATTTACAGCCTCCAAAAACAACTGTTTAACATCATTCATTTTAAAAGAATTATTTTTTCTTGAAACTTCTCCCTTTATCTGTGCCCATATCAGTTCAATCGGGTTTACTTCGCAATGATATGGTGGTGATCTAACCACCGTCATCCCACGATTTTTTGCAATTTCATCAATTTCATATTTTTTGAATTTCTCTTTATGAAGGGAACACAAATGATACAGTTCTTTTCTCACAGAACCGGGATGGAACTTAATATTCTTTGAATTTAGCCAATTCTGTAAATCTTTTTTTAACCACTTGGTTGTGGGCATTTTTTCTATAAGTCTCGAGTGATAACTTGCATTATCCATTACTATTATACAGTTCTGAGGAAGAAGATCTATAATTTGTTCGAACCACTTTTTAAAGACATCAGCATTCATGTCCTCATGGTAGTCACCGGTACGAGTAGATTCAAAAGTCAATAAACCACCTTTAACAAAACCGTTTGAACTACCGATGTGTACTATTATTAGTCTGCGCCCCTTTCCTGATGGTGGATTTAAACCAGTAGATAAAGTATTTAAAAAAGCCTGTCTTCGACTTGTAACAGTTTCATCTTGCCAAAATTTATTTGGTTTATGTCCCTCGTTGATCCATGTTTCATCTAAAAAAAATATATTTCTTCTTTGGTTTCTCATTTCTTTTATAGTCCTTAGGTAATTTCTTCTCCATACTACAATATCGCTTCTTTCTATTAAAATAGACTTTCTGGAATGCTTTTTCCATAGAAAACCTATTTCTTTTAAAAGTTTCCATAGTGTTCTTCGACTCATTTCAGGGTAATCCTTATCATCTCGAACCATGGCAAGAACTTTGTCTACTGTCGGAAATTCTTTTCTGAAGAAGAACGCATGCACTTTCCTTGAAAGTCTTTCTTTCAAAAGATTTTCTAATTGAAATTGTGGTTTTCCTGGAGCTTTACGTGCTGTTTGAAACTCGCCACATTTCTCTTCTTTAACAACTCTGTAAATCGTAGATTTCCCAACACCAAGCGTACTACTAACTAATTCCACTGTGTCATCAACACTTTTACATAAATGTTTGTCTGTAAATAGTTTAAAACAATTAAATATTAATGTTTTTTCATTAACTGTTAAAGGACCGATTTTTTGTCGTTTACGCGGCCCTTCCAAATTTTCCATGATCAGTGATCACACTAGAATTCACACTGCACCTTGCAAGTTGCAACTAAACGACATTTAGTAAACTGTCAAGAATACACAACTTGGACCTTCTTACTAAATGGAAAACCTATAATCGCATTTTTGGTGAAATTTGTTGGGAAGGTATTTATCTACTTATAATTCGATTACTGTAAGAAATTCTTGGAATTAAAATAAAACAAAATTGGCAAATAGGTACTTATTGAAAATAATCTTAAGATACGGCTATATAATCTTTAATACACAGGGCTTTTGGCCTGTCCAAACCGTTTTCTATTGTTCTGTACAGCTTATGTTTATAAAGGACCAATAAAAGACCCAAAACTTGTAATAGCTCAGGTACATTTATTACAATTTTAGGAAATATTTAGATTATTCTGTAAAAATATTTAAAATGACCGTACTAAGTTTTGCATTAGACATGCTGTTTTATTACTCTCTCATACATAAAAATAGACTATAATTGCAGTCCAAATAAAGGTACAATTTTAAGTATGCATAGGCGTCCTTTAAAAATCATTTTTGAAATCTATAGATACTATTTCTAAGAAGATAAAATTTAAAATGTGTTTTAAATTAAAAGTTTTTCTAAAAATCATTTTTGAAATATGTAGATAATATTTCGTAGAAAATAAAATTTAAAATATATTTTAAATTAAAAACCATTTTTAAAATATGGAGATTACTGGTAATCAAGCCAAATGGCTAAATTAACATTAATTAAGATTATTTATATTTTCTTAAGTGCGTAAACTAGGTACACAAAAAAGTCTGTTCGCTATACTTACGCGGGTTTCGGATTAAAAATTGTATGAGTATTTCCAGGAAAGTACCCGAAAGTTTGACCTGTTCTTTGGAGAAATATCAACTGGTTAAATAAAATGAAAACTAATGTACAACTTTTTAATTAAATAATAATGGAGAATATTTTGTATAATTGAGAACAGAATTAAACTAATTAATGGAGTCTAATGTGGCTATTATAAACCTAATAATAATTTTATATTACACTTCACACAGAAAATATGGTCTATGTATAATAAGAGGGTTATTTAGCTCAAATAAAATATTTTCTAACATAAAAATTTGTTCCATGTAGAGAATTTCAAATAAAAAAATTGAACTTGCCAACAAAAATGAAAATCAGTCATTATCATCCAAAATATCATAATCTACATCATCATCACTGTCATCACCATTAATTGTTATTATGATTGGACTTATTTCGTTTATTTTATTTTCACGAGTCCACCAATCTTCTATTAGTTTCTCGCACTTGGATATACAGTTCCGCCACCCTTCTGGAGTTGCAATTGAAAGTGCTTTTCGCCAAGTTTCCCGAACTGCGTCGTCACTATAACCATTAGGCCCAATATGGTTGTCATAATATTGTTTTGCTATTCCCCATCATGGGCGTCGTTTGAAGGGGGCAAGGGGGGGCAGTTGCCACTCCCTGGCTTTTACGACTTAATCAACAACATGTAATATATGAATTACTGATATTTTAATAGGTAGGTACTATAGGTTCTTTAAGCCTGTTACAACATCCCAAAAACAAAAAATAATACTTTTGTTACTACCGATCAGAAAATGAAAATAGTGGACAAATTTGGAATCGACAATTTTGAAGCTGAATACCAAACGTGAATAGCTAACTGGACTTCGAAAGAGCTTTCTGCACACAATAAGCTCTCCGTCAATGATCTAGCTGAATATAGCTGCGGTTTACAATGAATGAAAATAGGCGACTGGGGCTGGGCTATACATGATGAGTCTACAGAGGACAAAAAAGAAATTATGTCTTATGTTATCGATATTTTTACGTGTGTTTGCGTGAGATTTTTAAGGTTTTCGTGTTTCTATAAATATGTTTTATATATATATATATATATATATATATAATTATTATTGTGTATGGTTGTGTCTTCTTGTTCCTATTTTTTTTATATCACACCTTCTTTGTTTTCAAACAAATGAACATTCTATTATTTTTTAAATGTTGCCCCTCTCTGTAGAATTGTGTAACGACGTCCATGTTCCCCATATATATTCGATGGGATTAAACTGACAATGATACGGCAGACGTAAAACTTGATGACCGTAACTTTCAATAATCTGATCCACAACAAAAGTTTTTGGTTTTGCGTGTATATTTGCCAAGCGTAATAATTCTGATTTTAATATATATTGAGGAAATGGTATATGTTCCTTTGTCAACCATTCTTTAATTTTATCAACAGTCCAAGAATTCGTTAGACTTTTGTTTAATACTTTAGAATGGTAAGGTGCATTGTCTAAAATAATTACGCTGGGCTCACTTAAACCTGGGAGGAGTTTTTCATGCAACCATTTTACAAACATTTCTGTGTTCATATTAACGTGATAGTCACTGGATTTTGATTTAGATGAAAATATTAAATCAGCACCTTTTATAAAACCCGATTTCCCTCCTGCATGTAAAATTATGAATGAATGAATGAATGAATGAATGAATGAATGAATGAATCCGTTTATTTAGCCATTGCTATTATATACAATTATTTATTTTTTTATTTACATATTTTTTTTTTGTTATCTTACATAATATACACAATTGTTTAATTTGATTCTCTAAGATATTTACATAATTTTTTGTTAAACAAATTCAAATTGCTAGAGTCTTTTATTTCTTTTGGCAGATTATTAAAAAGATGTATTCCATTAATTAGCAACGATCCCATTAAGAAAGTTTTATTTGAAAAATTTATGTTGAAATTTTCATCGGATCTTAAATGTCGAGAATGTAAGTGTTGCCGCGTAACTAGTAACTCACTTAGATATTTCGGTGTTAATTGATGCATCATTTTATAGATTACAACGAGGGTTGCCTTTTTAATATTCTGTTCAATAGAAAGCCAATTTAGGGTTTGTAGCATATTTTTGATTGGAGTGTAAATATTACATTTTAGAACAACTCTCATACATTTGTTTTGGAGTACCTGAAGTCTGCTTACTTGTTCTTTATTACATGAAAGTAAAAGTGACATACAAAAGTTAAAGTGTGGATATACAATTGTGTTATAAACAAGATTTCTACTCCATTGAGACAAATTTGAAGCTATTCTTCTAAATAACCCTATTTTCTTCCCTAATTTCCTACATAAGTAGTCTGCATGACTGTTGAAAGTCAACTGAGGATCTAAAATAACTCCTAGGTATTTAATCGTATATACTTGTTCGATGGCAATATTGTTTATACAGATGATAAAATTTCGCTCCGCAAAATTGTTACAGGTCGATTTAGATCCCATTGCCATAAACTTGGTTTTATTTGCATTTAGTTTTAATTTGTTGATACACAACCAGTCATACAGAATACTTAGCTCACTGTTTAAGGTGCGAACAGCTTCTTCAAAATTAGTAGCCGCGACAGATATGAGTGTGTCATCCGCAAATAAACTTACAAAAGATTGTTGTAACGCGTCCTTTATGTCGTTTATATATATAATGAACAATAAAGGGCCCAGGACACTGCCTTGTGGTACACCGAAATTACATTCCGTTCCATTGGACACACTGTTGCCTACTCTAGTTTGGTGGTATCGGCCTTGAAGGTAGTTGTGGATTAATTTTATGGCATCTGATTTTATACCATATTTCTGTAGTTTGTAGAGTAGCAGTTTCCGATCAATCGTTTCAAAAGCACGCTTTAAATCCACAAATACACTCAAAACTACTTTTCCTTTATTAATTTCCTCCCTCCAGTTAAAACATGTAAATTGCAATGCCGTTTCACATGAATGACCATCACGAAAACCAGACTGCCCTGAGTACAAAATATTGTTTCTTTCAAAGAATAGCTTCAATTGATCTCTTAACACAATTTCAATAATTTTATCTATAGTTGGTAGTAAATTAATTGGCCTAAATTGTTCTGGCAGGGTTGGCGACGGAACTTTAGCTATTGGCACGATTACACTAATTTTGAGATCCGAAGGGATTCGTCCACTAGTTATCACTGTATTTACAATATTTAGCAAGGGATATCCAACTACACAAAATAGGTCTTTAAGAAGTTTTGGACTTAAAAAACCGTCACTCGAACTTTTATTCTTTAGGCTGCTCACTATTTTTTGTAACTGGCTGAAAGTAATTTCTTGAAATTTTGCTAATTGTTCTTTCTGTACTTCAAGGTCATTTCCAAATTGCAGTAAGCCTTTATCTTCTATACTCTCAGCTAGATTACGAATGCTATCACTGTAATATTTATTAAAGTTTTCTTCAGGTGGTCCGGAATAGCCTTCAAAATTGATTTTATCTATTGGCAGATCTTCTTTCTTCTGTTCAAATAACTGTTTTATTGTTTGCCACATCTTTTTGCTATCTCCTTTGGATTTGTCAATTTTGTCTTCGTAGAATAATTTCTTTTCTCGGCGTAATACATTGACTGCCTGGTTCCTCTTGTTTGTCGCTTCCCTTCTCCATCGGTATGTTTGATGGACTTTACGTTATCATCTTGCCATATTCTCTTGGTTGCACTTTCTCGGAGAACCCTCTGTATAATTGAATTATTTTTAAATTGTCTTTTTGATATACATCTTGCTGTGAAAATAGATTTTAAAAAAATCCAGTAATTTTGATTCAGTATATTTGTGTCTAAGTAATTTTTAATATCGTTTGTAGTTTACCCACCAGATCCTGTTCTGTTATTGAGAGTGACGCACCCTGTATACTTCAATTGTTTTTCTTTTGTGATAGCAATTTTAGTAGCCGAACAACGCATTTTTTTATTATATACTATATATTTAATAGCTATTTTATTACTATATTAACATACTTTCTTTAAAAATACATGAAATGTATTTTTCGGTGTTGTATAAAAAAAATATACAGGTAAATATAAGCAATTACTGAAGTGTAAAGTACATTTATTTACAAAAGAACTATTTTTCTGTATTCCTATCAAGGTTATAACTCAATGATTTAAGAATAGTGATTACCAGTAAGTAATTATAGCTATTATACTATTTAGAATTATATAATAGTGTTTACAGACATTTTATTGGAAATAGATAGCTAATTTTAGGCATCAATGCATTAAAAATAATGCTAAATAATAATTACAGTTGATAAAAGTCCAAATATCTATAAAAATATTAAACTAATTAATTTTGAAAATAAGGATCTAATCTTATAATATTAAAGTTAAGAAAAATGTCTATTTAAAAATTACTTTTAAGAAAAACCATGCATTGAAAACTTTTATTCCGTGAACCCAAGTTTCAGGAATGTCTTAAAAGTCCATATCCTGGATCAGTGTTTCTCAAAGTGTGCTCCGCGGAGCCCTGGGGCTCCGTAAACCCTTTATATAGGCTTCGCGAAGAAAATAATAGATATAATAAAAAAAAAAGTTCGATCAAAGACTCTATATTAGACTGCAAATTAGGCAAATAATCTCAGTACTATTTTATTGGAAAATTACTCGTAAAGGTATCATTTCGGTAGACGCGACATACGACCGCCGACGCGACATACGACCGCCGACGCGACCGAGAAGTGTCGCTTCACATCTAAAATACATACAATTATATGAAACACATTTCGCACGGAGCGACACGAGAAGTGTCGTCAGACGACACTTCTGAATCTGACTCGGGGCAAAGGTTTGCTGCCTGTCGCACTCGAGGTCACCCTCAAGCATCGCTTCATCGCTTGGAGGTGAATAGGTTGAAAATTTCTTTCGATATAGGCAGTGTTGCCAGATTTTGGAACAGTATGGGTGAAAAAAAAACCGTATATCTGAACAGTAGATTTTAATACAGGGGGAAATAATTAAAATTTGCAGTGTAGAAAAGAAAAAAACAAGTATATAAGAATAAACACAAATAATAACATTTTTAATATATACTTAACGTACGGAAACAAAAAAAACAATGAAAAATAATAGGTACCTACTTATTTTAGATCAGTCTGAATCAGATAATTCAAAAACTATAGTGTGCATGTTCTTTTTATGATGCCCTATTATTTCTTTGTTTCATTTTAAATAAAAACAATGATTATCTTGATGTTTTTTTTTATGGATCCAACCTAGAGTAGTGGATGCTTATTACGCTGCTTTTACTGCAGAAAATTTACTAGAGAAAATATTCTTTAACCATTTGCTGAAGAATGAGGCAAACTTAATGAATTAAGAACAAAATTTGCTAGAGACAAAAACAGTGGATCTACGTGAAAACAGTAGGTCTGGCAACGCTGATCGTTCCCTCGAATGGTTATCCTGTAAGTGTCGCGCGACATTTCTCAAGCTTGCGAAATGTACGAAGCGTAACATTTATGCATCTGTCGTCCTACTTGACCTTGGGGTCGTCTCAGTGGTCGCTAGTCTCCTGACGCGCCTACCCAAATGGTACCTTTATAGTTGTTTTAAAGAAATATAGAGGTCAGTGGCGGCTCGTGCCTTAGCACATAGGTGGAGCCACGAATTAACATTTTCGGGTGCCTAGCCCAGATTTTGAGTCGAAGTCGTTAAAAAGCATATCTTGGGTAATATTTTAAAGTATATTAACATGCGCATTTATCATTTTTACAAATTAATAAATAACATACAAACTTTCCAGAATTTAGCTTTGAATAGTAATTTATTTCACACCAAACCTATACAGTAAAATAAAGAATATTTTACATTAAAATATATTTAAAGTCTACTCTTCGTTCTGTTTTATTAGCGAGAAGGTCAATCACTCGTCTATTAAAGTCGTCAATGTTATTTAGAAACACTTTTTCAACTGATAACATTCCTAGCGCACTTAGTCTTCCTTCTTTCATTGAGTTGCGTAAAAAAGTTTTCATTCTCTTTAACATAGAGAAACATCTTTCAGCTTCAGTTGACATAAGTGTTGTCACTAAAATTTCCAGTAATTTAATAGTTTCTTGAAAAGTGTACTTCATATCTTCCTGCGAAACTAATGATAAACAGATGAATGGCTCCAGAAATGGTTCGCAACTCTTATCTTTCGTAAAGTACTTGCATTTCTGTTTTTAGAAGAATTTTTTTCTAGAAATTGATATGCGTTAACTGTATCAGAGAGCAATTGATCAGGAAAGTTGTTTTGGTATTCGATAAAATGTTTTTTCATGAATAATGCGGTGTCCTATTCTGTTGTATAATGGAATCGCAAACTTCCAAGGTTTCTATTTGTTGAAACAGATCGGAACGAGGATAACGTCGCCTTTCTTGACATTATTGGGGAATTACAAACTTTTGATACAAATGTCGATCTCTCAGTCATAGATTTTTAGTTAGTAGATCTTCATAGAAAAAAGTATGAGTACTACTACCTTAGATAATATCCGATTCATAATTGTTCTTTCTCTCTCTCTCTGTAAACCTGGAAGGAGGGAAGGTGGTCTAAGATTGACATTAGACGAACCTGATGTATATCACCACAAATTGTCATATGTATTCTAGTGCTATAAGATCTTTTCTAACATAAGGTGTTTAAGTCTAAAGGTCTTGCGCACCTCCAGGTGAACAGATTGAAAAAAAACGGTATTATTCTTAAAGAGCCGCTATCAGAACAAACTTTTGGTACAAATGTCGATCTCTCAGTCATAGATTTTTAGTTAGTAGATCTTCATAGAAAAAAGTATGGGCACCACTGCCCTAGATAATATCTGATTTATAATTGTTTTCTTTCTTTGTAAACCTGGAAGGTGGGAGGGTGGTCTAAGATTGACATTAGACGAACCTGGTGTATATCACCGAAAATTGTCATATGTATCTTATTGCTAACATAAGGTGTTTAAGATTAAAGGTCTTGCGCAGCTCCAGGTGAACAGATTAAAGAACCGATATCAGTCGATATGAATAAAATCGTTGTAAAAAAATAGTATTACGACCTATGTCTATTTTAATAATAATTTTAGTTTTAGTAACCAACCAACCACCGACTGATTTACACTATCAAAAATTGGCAAAAGTTCTTCTTGTTTGTATACTGATTATTGGATTGGCACTCTGTATAGAATCTCTGTGGCTACTACTTTGGACACCAAATTTAAGATCTAGGGACAATCCTGGATGGACTGGTATACCTGTAAGTATTTTAAAAACAAAAACCTAATTTTTTATATATTTCAAATTTAATTTAAATAAAAGGAGATTATATTTCCGGATCTCGAGTGTAAGACCTAATAACTAAGAAAGTGACACTAAATGTTTTGAAATACCAATTATGTTAATTGTTTTCATTATATTCCAGAGGAGTATATATGTTTTTTAAGTTCATCAGAGCATATAAGCCCTTGAAAGTATTTTTGGTTTTACAAATATCAACTATAAAAAGTTATGACTCACCTTGCATGCGCTTACTCTATATTGCAATGGTTATGATTCTCCTGTATATGAATGTATTTTAAGATTTTTTTTATGAAAACAATACGTTGTCATTTATGACTAAATTAAAATTTCTTATAATATAATTCTAATTATATTTTTTGCTTATTACATTTTTTATATTGCAGGTGTTGGTATCTAGCTTTGTTGGAATATTGTTTATGATCAGTATACCCAAGGAATACTCTAGACAAAAATTTGGATACTGGCGAAAATCATTAAAAGTAAGTTAAAAGATACATATTGGGATTTGATATATAATTGTAATGGAATACTGTTAATTATTATAACTATTTTGAGCTATCTACAGATTATGTATGTGATTTGTCCAATTCATTGTTGTTTATAACTATATCGTGTGTTTAAATGGGTAGAAAATTAGCAACAGATGCAATTCAGTTTAAAAATACCTAGAGTTATAGTCTATTTTTATGTATGAGAGAGTAATAAAACAGCATTTCTAATGCAAAACTTAGTACGGTCATTTTAAATATTTTTACAGAATAATCTAAATATTTCCTAAAATTGTAATAAATGTACCTGTGCTATTACAAGTTTTGGGTCTTTTATTGGTCCTTTATAAACATAAGCTGTACAGAACAATAGAAAAAGGTTTGGACAGGCCAAAAGCCCTGTGTATTAAAGATTACATAGCCGTATCTTAAGATTATTTTCAATAAGTACCTATTTGCCAATTTTGTTTTTATTTTAATTCCAAGAATTTCGTACAGTAATCGAATTATAAGTAGATAAATACCTTCCCAATAAATTTAACCGAAAATGCGATTATAGGTTTTCCATTTAGTAAGGAGGTCCAAGTTGTGTATTCTTGACAGTTTACTAAATGTCGTTTAGTTGCAACTTGCAAGGTGTAGTGTGAATTCTAGTGTGATCATGGAAAATTTGGAAGGGCCGCGTAAACGACAAAAAATCGGTCCTTTAACAGTTAATGAAAAAACATTAATAGGTATTTAATTGTTTTAAATCATTTGCAGACAAACATTTTTGTAAAAGTGTTGATGGCACAAAGGAATTAGTTAGTAGTACGCTTGGTGTTAGGAAATCTACGATTTACAGAGTTGTTAAAGAAGAGAAATGTGACGAGTTTCAAACAGCACGTAAAGCTCCAGGAAAACCAAAATTTCAATTAGAAAATCTTTTGAAAGAAAGACTTCGAAGGAAAGTGCATGCGTTCTTCATTGGAAAAGAATTTCAGACAGTAGACAAAGTTCTTGCCACGGTTCGAGATGATAAGGATTACCCTGAAATGAGTCGAATCACACTATGGAAACGTTTAAAAGAAATAGGTTTTTTATGGAAAAAGCATTCCAGAAAGTCTATTTTAATAGAAAGAAACGATATTGTAGTATGGAGAAGAAATTACCTAAGGACTATAAAAGAAATGAGAAACCAAAGAAGAAATATATTTTATTTAGATGAAACATGGATCAACGAGGGACATAAACCAAATAAATTTTGGCAAGATGAAACTGTTACAAGTTGAAGACAGGCTTTTTTAAATAATTTATCTACTAGTTTAAATCCACCATCAGGAAAGGGGCGCTGACTAATAATAGTACACATCGGTAGTTCAAACGGTTTTGTTAAAGGTGGTTTATTGACTTTTGAATCTACTCGTACCGGTGACTACCATGAGAACATGAATGCTGATGTCTTTAAAGAGTGGTTCGAACAAATTATAGATCTTCTTCCTAAGAACTGTATAATAGTAATGGATAATGCAAGTTATCACTCGAGACTTTTAGAAAAAATGCCCACAACCAAGTGGTTAAAAAAAGATTTACAGAATTGGCTAAATTCAAAGAATATTAAGTTCCATCCCGGTTCTGTGAGAAATGAACTGTATCATTTGTGTTCCCTTCATAAAGAGAAATTCAAAAAATATGAAATTGATGAAATTGCAAAAAATCGTGGGATGACGGTGGTTAGATCACCACCATATCATTGCGAAGTAAACCCGATTGAACTGATATGGGCACAGATAAAGGGAGAAGTTTCAAGAAAAAATAATTCCTTTAAAATGAGTGATGTTAAACAGTTGTTTTTGGAGGCTGTAAATAATGTGAAGCCTGAAAACTGGGAAAAGGCAGTAACTCATACGATTAAAGAAGAAGAGAAAATGTGGAAGTTGGACAATATTACTGATGAAATGATCGAGCCACTCATTGTAAATATTGGTTGCGACAGTTCATCTTCTGATTTCGATTCTGATTTGAATTTGTAGGTAAGAAGTAGTTTTTATATTAAAATTATTATTTATGAACGTAACGTTGTTTAAAAGTCAAAGTTTAAACCCTTATACCTACATAACCCGTTTGACACAATGTTCTTAACATACCTTGTGGAAAAATAAAACATTTTAGAAAAAATTGCAATTTTTTACCTTCAGCTGTTTAAAAGTTATAAGCAGGTTAATTAGGTGAAAATATAAGTGTATACTCGAGGAATAACTTCAAAAAATATTTAAACTGTCTACTAAAAGAAGTGGTACGCCTATGGATTACGAACGCTTTATTATTTTAATACTCTCTCATACATAAAAATACTTTTTTTTATAGTATACTCTGCTTAAATCAAAATCGACAGATTAAGCTTGATGCTTGTCTGTTTTATTAAATTGACGAAGAATTGGTTAAATAAAAATAACCCAAACTTAACTTCTTATCACAGTTACTGCAAACTAAAAAAAAAAACATGACTGAGAATTCAGAATATGAAAAAATTATGAAATATAACTTTATAGTTTTGAGGCGTCTTCGTTGATGTTCAAACTATATTAATATGTATTGGAAAAAGGTCATTAAGAAACCAAATAGCTTTGAGATAAAAACAGTCAGTATATCTACTTAAAGTTAAATAAAACAACGGTATTAAAAAAAGAGATTGACTGATTTATTACCTAAAGAAGTACCTACTATTCGTAAAATTCTAGTATAATAATGGTATAATTTTGTTTTCTTATTAAAGGAATATATAATTGAGTTGAAACACCTTAAAATTTCATATACCTGATAAATTTTCAACAAAATTATATTTTTAAAATAAGGATTCTTTAGCGAAAAATATATCAAGCAGCTAGGATTGATTTAATAGTTGTATTCCTGAAATATCTAATTATAACCTCATGTAGAAAATTTTTACGTGCGCCTATGTATTATTTTTATTTCATGTAGTAGTTTATGAATGTCATTTTATATTTTTTGATAATAATTTGAATGTTCATGTCAATTACAATTTCGCAATATATTAAAAGGTTAATCGTAGTTAAACTTATTATTTCCTTTGGATTCATTATTTTACACCTCATTTTACTTATTATTCTTTTTCTTTTCAGTATATATCTATAACAATCAGCGTCGTAGCAACAGGAACCTCCATCTTAACCGTCGTGTTCTCATCGCTTCATCTAATTACATTGTCATCCATGATATGCGCTCCTCTCGGTAAATTAGACTCGACTTGCTTGTGTCAGAAAAATTCAACTGAAGAAACCATCCTAGACTCAAGTTACCACTACATCGACTTAAGTTGCGAAGAAGTGGATATTTTAAACATTTTAATTATAATTACGTGTGTAGCTAGTGGTTTTGTTTTTATTTTCGAGTTACTTTATCTGTATTTACATTGGGTAAGTAGAAATGTATATGAATATGTCAGAGTACCAATTAATGCACTGAATATTCATCGAGCTAATAGGTAGCATTAATTATACATTTTAGATAGTTAAAAATTTTAAATAGTTAATTTATGAAACCAAAGTGATAGTAATTAAAAAGTTATGTGATTTTCTATTTGAAAAAGTTACAGTGGACAAAACTGTATGGCTGTACTGCTATAATAAATAAAATAATATTACTTGTCTTTTTGCCAATTTTGATAACGATTTTTGAATATTATTTGAAATTATTATTAAAAAACTAAAAGACTATTTCAATCTTTTTTCTACAGCAATATTTTAAAGCATATTTGGTTCAATCCTCATAACCTGCGGTTCATGGTACCATTCATTGAATATAAACAAGTCCTCTTGGCACACTGATGCTTTTTCCGAGGTTGCCACATATTACGAGGTTTCTTTGTTCTTCTCAGAGATAACAGAGATATAAGCAGTCATTGATAAAATATAATATTCACGGTGCCAACATTAGTTCGACAATGGATACATTCTATTTCTAGACGCGGGGCGAGGCGACGAAAGGTGAGAAGTAAGAGAAGTGATAGAGAGAAGAATTTTACGGAAAGAAAACTTAGTTTTATCAATGAATAACTGCGCGCACTTATATTACATAACGTAAATGTCCATGCCGGTGTAAGCCCTGTTGCCACTTCCAATCTAACATCACTAGGTTTTGGAATTTGTTGAAAATTATTACATCTAATTTAGTTAAATTTAATATAACTAATATTCAAAATTTTTTTTTGCAATAAAATAGGTTGAATTATTTTAGCTTTTTAAATATATGTAAATAATTTTGTAAACAAAACGAAAATAATGAAATAGCCATATAGTATGGTGTAGATTAAAACTTATTTTAACTTTGCCTCCCACTTCGGTTTTACAAGCTGAATTTTTCAGGGATGAAAGTACATGATAAGCTAACCCTTAATACAAAATTAGACTGTCCAAAAGGGCATTATCATAAATGCTTATTTTTTGTTCTAATGCTCAATTAGGTCTTTGTAGGAAGTATTTTTTTATAATTATTTAAAAAAAATCATTTACATTAGTCCTTATGGTCAAAAAAAAATTTAAACGTCAATATCTCGGTTTCAACCGTCTACAAATTTGTATAAAAAATCTTTTAGAAATATACCTTTCATTTGGCGAAAAATGAAGGCCTAAATGAAAAAAAAAAAAAACTATTCTTCATAAAAGTTTCGCCTATGTATTGACAAGGTAAAAGTACTTTCCTTATATTTTTTGCTTTTAAATTAACAAAAATATAGCAATAAACAATAAGTGATGTCATGGTTTTACTAGAAATCAAACATTAAAGGCAGAGCCTTTCGACTCTCTATGCATCTCTCTCAGTATTGAAATGTATGCAATCAGTTTGACTCTCTTATATTATTTTATACAGGGATTATTGATTTATCCACTATGAATACCTAATAGGGTATATTAATTACTTCAAGATTTTTTTTATTTTTGCTTTGCAAAATACAATAAATCCCCAATATAAATAAATTATAATAATAATAATTGGAAGGAAGTATATACAGCATAAATTAATAATATTAAAATTTATAAATACAAGACTTTCAAACTAATCAGAATCAGATTCACCATACGAATCAACATTTTCCAAAACATTAGCGGCTGTGTACAAACTATTTCTGCAGTTTTTCTGTGCCATACAGGTGCAGGAACCGATACAGCAAATATTTTTTTCCTGCATTTGCAAATTTTGCTTCCACAGTCTAGAACAGAATATTATTGTTACAATATTGTATAGTAGGTATCTTTTTTGCATTTGCATGATGTAAGTTCTGTTATGTCTGGTGGCAGGTCGGGCAGAGTCTTAAAAGTGGGTATCAGACTTCCATCTTGATCTACTTTCCATCCATACTCTTCAACATTAGGAAGTTGCATCTGGGTTTAAAGAGCTTAGCCAAATATTTAGCTGGTAAAAACATCTTAAACAATGTAGTCTTAGGGCGTCTTCAGTCGGTGGCAATTTAGCGATGGTTATGAAGAGGCCAATAATCCCCTCAAAATGTTATTAGAAGTAACATTTGCAGTTTTGAATTTTATGAAAATTCTTTCAAGATTAGAGAATATGTTTTCAGAGTACTGATCAGTGCCAAATCCATCCAAAAAGTAATGGTGTTCAAGGTAAGTTCTCAAACAGGTTCTTTTCCCAATGCTGGACAATTGGCTGGTTGTATCACAACCGGTCAGAGAATGCGAGAATGTTAATGCGTAGATATTATTGTTTTAACTTTTTAATAGTTTAAATTCAATAAAAATTTTATATTGTAATATTTGATAATTATTGTTACCTATTCGTTACATGATGATGTGCAACTTTGAGATTTAAGTCTGAAAAATGTTGATCTGATTGTAAAAAACTTCTACGTGTGTTTGATTAATTTTTCGTATACGAAATAAATTCAGAATTTTTGTAAAAGGTTCATTAAGTGACCAAACATTGACAAGGTTTTTAATAGTAATTGCTTGATAAAAGATGTTATAATTTTTGTTAAATCTCAAGTAAATGAATTCGTAAATATATTTTATATGTTAATGTAGGTTATGTAAGTCATATTAACTATTTATAAATATAAAAAACATTTTAATTAGATCATTTATTTTTAAAGTCTACTAATTACCAAGCTAAAACTATTATAAAACTACGCGGAATCAGGAATTGTGTAAAAATCACGTTTAGAATAAATTAGACAATAAACAAATGTGTTGCTAACTACACACATCGCCAAAATTCTTGGACCCTCTTATGTTTGTTAAAATGAGACACTATCATTAAAAGTTATTAACTCGCCTGTGCATGGAAACAACAAGGGTGTTAATGTAATCCATTAGGATGTTGTTCCATTCTTCTTGGGCCGCGACTGTGTGTTCCTGGAGGGCGACAGGAGGATTAATTCTGTTTGAAATTGTTCGTTCAACGAAATTTCACATGTGCTCATGGGATTCATATCCGACGAATTTCCTGGCCATGGTAATCTTTGAATATTCTATATTTCTAGTGCATTTTGTACCCTTCTCGGACGATGGGGCCTAGCATTGTCATCCATGAAAGTAAAATTGGCTCTAGTTTCAATTCGGAGAGGATAAATAATGGGTTTAATAATGTTTCGAACATATACGAGTATATCGGCTGTAATATGGTCTAGAATGGGAATATGCTACGTACGACGACCATGTATTATGCCTCTCCAAAACATTACTGTTCCACCTTGGTATGGAACGACTTTTCTGGCAAAAGATAGTCTTTCTGGTCCTCTCCAAATTCTGTGTCACCGACTATCAATTAAACCATATCTGGTTTCGTCCGAAAAAAGAACATTTCGCCACTGAACTAAAAGCCAGTCTCTGTGTTCCTGTGGCCACTGTAGACGAGCAGCTATATGTCTGGGAAGTAACCTGGGTACTCTTAATGGTCTCCTAGATCGTAGATTGGCTCTACCAAGTCTCCACCATCTTGTAGTACTGGAAATAAATCGACCATACGTTTTTCTAAAATGAGTTCGGACAGCTCAGACTGTTACAGTTTGATTCCGACATACATAACCTGCTACATACCGATTTTCTCTTGCATTAGTTACCCTAGGACGCCCAGTCCCACGTCTCCAGTCAACACTGTTAGTTTTCTGGTACAAACGCACTATTCGGATGACTGAAGTGCGCGGAATCCCTAGTCTATCTGCGATTCGATGATTCGGCAGACCCTCATCATGAAAAGCCACTATTCTTGCTCTATTGAATATTGAAATTCTATTGCCAGGCATAGTTGCAAAGAAAAACTCAACAATCACTTAAACACGCAAAATCGATATGAACCACTTTTTAAACATTGGTACCTAAAATTGTGGGAAATTGTTTTTGTAAAGATTTTTAGATAAGTATCAACGGTGAAATAAATAAAGATTAAATGTACAAAAAAGCAGCCATGATAAATATTATTTCGTTTTAATATTTACTAAGGAGGTCCAAGAATTTTGGCGATGTGTATTAAACTTGTTTTTATATTAAAGATAGGCAGTTGTCTCTGAAGATAGTTAGGTACTAAAACTGCCGTGTTAATTCAAATGGCCGTATCTGTTTAATACTTGAACGTGAGAAAAATCGATTTTTCAAGAAAAATCACTTTCGCCCAAATTTTTAAGCATTAAATCTCGGGTTTTATAGAAGATACATTCATGAAAGTTATAGAGATGGACAAAAAATTCATTGTTGTCATGCGTAGTGGTCATATCTTTATTGTAAGGAAAATTGCAGTTACGGCCATTTGAATTAACGCGGCAGAAAAGTTAATTTAGATTTGATACATATCCATGATGTCCAAAGATTAGTAATATGCTTATTTATAAATGTATTCCTTAAGAGTTGCAAATTAAAATTATTCGTGTCAGTATATCTAACGGTGTGTACACTCCTGAGCATTCGGGTTGAATGAACATTCACTATTTACACCGTATGAGCATTTGGAATTCGGATGCATTACCGCGTACCTATCAGAATGGAACAGTAGTAGCGGGTCATATGAGTGTCCATTCAGACCGCTCCATGAATGCACTGATTATTTTTAAACATTGTTCTCGGGTGAGATCCATCATCGAATTCACGTATGTTCTGCTGACCATCTTCATCCTATCATAAATCATTCGAATATTCGATTATTACCGTCATTCGAATTAATTCAATTATACCAATATCATTCGAATCATTTGAAATGTCTAATATTGTAATAAACAAACGAGAGTCACTGGGAACCTATTTTAAAACTATGGGAGTACGTATTTCTTTAAAGATTTTTATGAGAAATGCCATACATCAATGTGGAAATCTAAGGTGGAAAAAGTATTTTTACATAGTACATATTGATGTACGAGTTTTTTACTTTGGTGTACTGCGTTCTGATTGGACACATTGATCTTGACCTACCCAATCAATAATGATGGCATGTAATAAATCATTCGAATACTCGATAAATTCGATATTTAATCACCCGAATATTCGATTATGATGATCATTCGATTATGCCCATTACTAGTCCACACTGAGCAGATTTGATCGCATTCTCCATACATGCTCTTTGATGTATTGACAAAATTTGAATCGGACTGAGCATTCGTCCAAATCTAAAAGATCATTCGCGCTTGCCATGCTCATGGTGTGTACGCACCTTAAGACTAAAAAGTGGTATTTTTTTCGAAGTTACAAATCTATTAACAGTAAATAAACAATTAGGAAATTCGTAAACTTATTAAAATAATTTGTTTTGTGATTATTTACCGATGAATAAAGTGGCCATTCGATTTCCTCCTGATAATTGGGTCTGTTGAATATGGTCTAATATGCATGTTGTTATCTTGGCAATGGGGTGTTAATACAATGCGACCTAAAAGATCTATTGTGCTCCCTTCTGTCGCCAATGCTTCAAGAAAATGCTTATAACGACCCTTCCAATCCTATTTTCTCAAGAAAGTGTAGGATTTGAAGTGGCTTCAAGTTAGGTAAATCTCCCTCTTCTATTTGATATCCTCCTAGATATAATACCCTTGGATTCTGGAGTTCTATACATTCAGTTAGGTTGTGAATGGAGTTTTCGTCCTTCTCCTCACAGAATCTGCACTTACTATCCTCTACTACTCTCAGTTTACTTAGGTGTCCTTTTAGTCGGTAATGCCCAGTAAGGATACCTGTTACAATACGTAGCCTGTTCTTGCTCAGGCATATGCAGGCTTCCGATCTTTTCTGGTTATATTCACCCAGACGTATCTTGGCCTGTCTCAACCCCAAGAGATTGTTCCAATTATCGGTTTTTTTACTGCCCAATTCTTTTTTAATCTCTCCTAATATTATGTTACTGCTGATACCGCCGAATGGCTCAGGTTCTACAAAAGGTGTTCGAACCCCTTTCCTTGCAAAACTATCTGCAATCTCGTTACCCTGTACCCCGTTATATCCCGGGATCCAAGTGAGAGTAACTCTGTTTTTCTCGCCTAGCTCATTCAATTGTTCTAGGCTTCTCCAGACCATTTTTGAGCTAATTACGTAAGAGCTCAGCGCTTTGATGGCTGCTTGACTATCGGACATGATGATAATTGTCTATGATAGTTTCATTCGATGTTAAAGTGGATACGCTTCTCGATGGCGTGAATTTCCGCCTGGAAGATGCTTTGATATTTTTCCAAGCTTTCGGAGTGCTTGGTTCTCGGCCCATACACTCCTATTCCAGTTCCTTCTATGGTTTTGGAACCGTCCGTATACCACTGAATAGCACGTCTTTCGGTTGCAAGCGCTATGGATTCTTGGCCCCATTCTTTCTTGCAGCCCAGCTCTGTGGTTTTGAAATTTTTTACAAAACTGTACTTCTTTAGAATTTCATCCTGGGGCATGTCCCAGGTATCTTTAGTCCTA